TGGGGGCACTGTTGACTAGATCAGACTCTAGGATTGGAAAGAAGTGGGAACTGGAGATCTGAACCCTCTTCATTATCCATCCCATTCCACATATGCTTAGTTACTAAATTCTGTGGATCTTCCTCTCAAAAGCTCCAGAAAAGGGCTTCTTAACCCTTGTGTGTACTCTGCTCTCATTTGGCAGACTGTGAAGATGATGTACCCCTTCACAGGATATTTTAAATGTGTAAAATAAAACACATTTGTACTGAAATAGTTACCAAAATATTAAAATGACAAGATATGGGATGGTCCTTATAATTAGTGTAATTTCCAAATGATGATGAATATAAATGATATTTTGAGAGTTCTACAACTCAATATGATATGAAAATGTTTTTGTTTATATTATTGTGGTGTGTTGCTTATAAACTTAACTGAAAGAAACATTAAATTTCAGCTTAAATGTTACTGAAAATAAATGTTTTCTTTTTCTTATTTAAGTTCACAGACCCCTTGACTCCCTACACCTCCACCACTGCCCTAGTTCAGGCTTCTGTTTATACTCTATTACCATGCCCTTAACTGACTTCCATGGGATCTCCCCTACTCCTGCAGGCAGTAACCAGATTTTGTCACTCCTCAGCTTGGAATCTGTGAGTGTACTCCCTTGGCCTTGACAATTAGATGCAAGTCCCTTAGCTTGTTCTCAAAACTCTCCAAAACTAGCCCAATATGCAACCTTGAATGCTGTTGTTCTAACCTCCAGCCCTTCTTAGAAAATCTTTTCCTTCACGCTAAGCCCAGGTATCAATTCTGTGCCATCTTCTTTGAATTTCGGTGATAATCATTCCTTTATTCAACCTGATTAATCACACTGTTGGCACTGTGCTGAGTGTGGGGGATACAGCACTGGGCCATGCGCTTCTGCTTTCAGATCCCTTCTACTGGATCAGTCCTGGAGTGCTGGTTGCCATGGCAATTCTGCCTGCATTCCTCCTGCAGCTGGCCGCGGGCCTTCTCTTCCTCTGCCTGCAGCACAGACTGAGAGGTAAAGGCTAGTGGGAACAGTTTGGGGCCCATCCCTGAAATGAGCTGACCTCTTAGAGCTAACATTCATTTTTAATGACTTCTTGGTTCAGAATTCCATAATGACAATTTTTATACAGTACAGAATGCTTTCGTATAAATAATAGGACCTTGCACCTCCCTATGAGGTACAATGACATATATATAATAGCCCCATCTTACAGAGGAGGCCACTGAGGCCTGGAGTATTTCCCTGATTTACTCAACCTGACAGCCTGTAAGTAACAGAGTTCAGGCCTAACTAAGCCCCATCTTCTGGTCCCAGCACCATGTGGAGCACTTTCAAATACCTGGAAGAGAGTGAGCTTCAGAGTTAGACAGGTCTAGGCTATTAGAGGGTTAAATAAAAATACTATGGGTGAAAATCCCTACCACATAATAGGTATTCACCAGTTTCTCCTTCTCCATTCAACACTGAAAACTCTGTTTAGTTCTCAGTGAAGCTCCTCTTCTGTGCCTCAAGCTTCCATTCCAGGTCTTCTCCCCACCCCCAAAATGTTCTCAAAGCCAAAGCATGCCATGACCTTGAATTTTTCTCTTTCCCCTCCCACTCCTAAGAGAATGACACAGCAAGGAGGGCTTGGAGTGAAGGAGAGGGGATGTTAGTGGCATCAGAAATGGAGGCTCTTTCCTCCCCTTAAATTCATCCCACATAAAAAAGGCCTCAGTCCACAAACTGAGCAAAAAGAACCTGATCAAAGAATTAGGTAGCCTGGATTTGAATCCCAGCTCAGTTGTCCCACTTGCCAAGTAGAGCTCACATCTTCCTTCCTAAATGGTAAGGGAGGATTAAAGGGGACAATGTTATGTAAAGTGCCTAGAAAAGAGCCAGTCACAAAGTAGCTGTTTAACTAAATGTTTAGTTCCTCATTTCCTTGTTCAAATGGTAAGTAGCTTTACATTTACAAAGTGACAACCCAGGAGGGTGGAGTGGCAATGAAAACCGAGAAAGACCAAGAAAAGGAGCAAAGAGTGGTGAAGGTAATAAAACATTGTTGGTTTGGGGCTTTGCTGTCCATCTGAGTTTCTCCACATTCTTTATCCCAATACTTAATCCAGACAATAGCTAGGAAAAGAGCCTGAACTCTTGGCTCCAAGTCCGGAGCTCTTCCCATCCAAAGGATGATCCTGGGCTAGGCAGAGAGCCTGCGCAAATGCCCAGGGAACTGGCTGTGGAATGGCCCAACTCATATCAGAGCAAGAACTAAAACTGTTGCCTTTTTCTATTTTAGGAAAACTTCGAGCGGAGATAGGTGAGTTCCAGGCATTTTCCCTCCTCGATCCTTCCATTTTGGTTTTTGGCATAACCAAAATGGTAATTTTCTTAGACCACCTTTGCCTCTGTACCAGTATCGAGTTTCCTTCAGGTAGGAAATTCACTATTTAAAACTCCCAAAGCAACTCAGGATGGTAGAAAATTTCATTTATTTTCCCTGCCGAGCCAGGATAGACACAAAATCCTAGTTTTCCCCATTTTGCACTATGTCAGCTAGAAACAATTTTAAGTGACTAAAAAAGACTCAGAGGAGAAAGTATCACCTTTGAGTGCCTTCTAAATTCTCTCCATTTTTTCCTTTCAGAGAATCTTCACAGGACTTTTGGTAAGTGCTAGGGTATGTGGCCCTCCCAGATCAGCTATTTCACTTGTTTCATCACCTGGGGAAATAAGGATTCCTGGTTCCTGGTTGGTCTTCTCCCTCTTTTTCTTTGAGTAAGTTGCCTGCATCTAGGATGGGTAACATAGGAGTAAATACATACACCACACTTGTATACCAGGCAGTATACTAACAGCTTCACCAGATAACTCATTCTGTAGGGATTACATTGTGTGCACATTATTTCTCTTCTCAGGAAATACAAAGGGGAGATAAACAGATCCTTCGAAAAAATACTTGATGTCTAGTTGGGGAGGTGATACATATACATGAATTAACTGGAGAACAAAGTACATGTGTATTACCAACTGAACTCATGTAGTGGTGTTTTCATTAGTACAGGAAAAATAACTGTACATGATTAATCAGAGAAGGATTCTTGGAGGAAAAGTGAAGACACCAAGCCCCACTAGAATGTCGTTCAGGTTGATAAACATATGAAAAATTTTGAGATTTCTGTAACATGTTAAGAAACCAAATACATTGTGGAGAGGGGCATGTGGGGCATAGGGGAGAGCACAGTTAATCCTGTTTGTTTTCGGTGGGCAATTCAGATCCCCACTTTCTGAGGGTGCCCTGGTGGAAGATAACCCTGTTTGTAATCGTGCCAGTTCTTGGGCCCCTGGCTGCCTTGATCATCTGCTACAACTGGTTACATCGAAGACTAGCAGGTACATGGTGGGGCGGCAAAGAGGACCACTGAGTTGTGGGGGATAGATTCAGTCCTGAATGGGAAACAGAAAGATGAACCAGGGCTCCAGATGCCGGGATTTCCTTCCTTTGTCCCCAGGGCCAACTGCAGGCTTCTCAGAGAATCCAGAGTCCCTTGGTGAAAAGGGAAGGGCAGGTCCTTGTGGATCCCCACAGGGAGGGTGTAGGGAGGGAGCTAGTCACCTTCCACCAGTCACCTATCTCTTTTTGTTTTCAGGGCAATTTCTTGAAGAACTAAGTAAGTTTTCTCCTCCTTTCTATTAAGCTGAACAAAAGAAAACAGGAAAGCAGTGAGAGAAAGAGGGGGCTATTAAGGGGTAGAAATTCCAGAGGAAAGAAGGGGCTGGGCTGCATCGGAGGAAGGGGACTCCTGTGACGTAGGGACCACCTCTGCCAGCCTTACAGGTGGTGGGGAAGGAAGCTGGGGGCACTGCCACCTTCAGTGCCCCTGGACAAAAATTCCACTCCTTTCCCATTCCTTAGGGCAGCTGCCCTGTGCCTCGACTCCAAGATCACCCACTGAGGCAGATAAGAGACAGGATGACCCCAGAGGACTTTTCCTTTCCCTGGTTTAATGGTTTCATGATAGAAACTACTGACAGATTTTTCAAGTTATTTTCTCCTTCTAGGAAACCCCTTCTGAGTGATGTTGCATCTTTGCAAAAGTGGAGAAAAGTCTGGCTGTTCCAAAAATTGATCCTTGGGGATGTTGCACTTGACTTCCAGGAATGCTCTAAATTCCAAATAGGATTTCTTTCATTTTAAACATTTTTTCAGATAAACATTGATTTGTTGTCCCACCTTACCTATGTACCCATTCGTTTCTCTTTTGTCACCTACCTTTTCCCAGCTGCTTTCTTTCCCCATTTTTTTCTACCTGTATCTTTCCAACTCCTCTGTCTTCCATCTGGAAGTCAAGCAGGTGCTCTTCATCAGAGGACACCTGTGCTGAAAAGTAATGCACAGGAGAGTCTCTGCTACAAACTGAAGACCAGGAACTTCCTCGGAGCAAACTACGGCATGCCAACTTTGCAAATGGTGGTTCCTCCTTCCAAGACCTCAGCCCCAGTGGGCTGAGTAGAGGGTGGAAGAAAAGGAACATGATGAGTCCAAAACATCAAAGAGCTGTATAAGCTGCAGAGTGAGGACATGGGGAGAAATCCAGATACTGGCCAGAGTTTCATCTTGTCCCTGAAGCCCACTGAAGAGCTGGGAACAAACAAAACTGAGGCTGCCCACCTGCTTTATGTTTCCTTTTTTACTCCCACAATTTGTACAGATTGAGTCCCTCAGACTTCTCTCCTCTCATCCCTATCAGGGTATCCACTGTTTTATTCAACAATGGCTACTTGGTTTTGAAACACAAAGAAACAAGGTACTAATGAACAACACATTTCCACTTGCCACTTCCTGTCCCTTTTCCTTCATGCATGTGCTTCACCGTCCCCTCCTCTCTTCCTCTCTTCCCGCCTCCTTACCCTATAGGTCAGTCATCAGGAAAACCAAACACAAAGAAAGGCCTCAGTCAGTAAGGTCATTTATTTTTGTTCCAAGACTCTCCCTGCCTCAGTTGCTGCTTCTGCATACCTTCTCACTTCCTTGCCTCCCCTCTCCTGGGGATATGGATCCTAGGAGATCCATTTCCTTCCCTGCTATAGGGGAGCCATTGTGAAAAAGGCCAAGCCATTGGCCCAGGATAGCCCAGCATTTATGGGGACTGCCCAGGCACAGCCCCTTGCCTTTGTAGCTCCCCCAGTGACCCACAAGGTCCTCCCTCTCCCCAAAGCAGATGTCACAGATAGGGCAACGATAGATCCTCTGCTTCCAGTGAGTCTGCTGGTGCATGACTAACCCAGACAATGAGCTGAAGGACTTGCCACAGCAGAAGCAGCAGTTTGACTGCTCTGTGAGGTGGGCCTTCTGATGCCTGGAAAGATAGGCCTTCTTACTAAAAGTCAAGGGACAATAAGGGCAAGAGAAGACCTTGAGTCTTGAAGCCTTTGGTGGGTGAGACTTAGACCTGGTATTCAGGCAGAGGACTCTACAGTTGGCTGCCTGAGTCCTGGTAACAGGCCCTGGGGTTGTAGTAACTAGTGTCTGAGTTCTCACAGTGATCACCTGGTTCTTGGCTGCAGGTTCCTGGTTTCTATTCATAGATGGCTGAGGGTAAGCTACAGGACCCTTGGTTTTAAATATGGGTTCTTGGGTCCTGGTCACTGATGTGTGGTGCCCGGCCACAAGCTCCTGGCTCCTGACAGTGGGTTCCTGGAATCCAGCTGTGGTACCTAAAATTGTCACAAAATGCTTCTGGTTTCCAGCCACCAGCTCCTGGTTTTGGTGTGTTTTCTGGTGGCGTTTGAGCTCAGACTGGTCCCGGAAGCCCTTCCCACAGAGGGAGCATGAATGGGGCCGGTAACCCAGGTGGACACGGCGGTGACGACTCAGTCCAGAAGCATCACAGTAGGTCTTGTCACAAAGTGAGCAACAGAAGGGCCTCTCCCCGAGATGTATGCGTCTGTGGTAGCTAAGGGCCTTGGGGTTCCGAAATGACTTCCCACACTGGCTGCAGTTGTTAGTCCCCTTAAGATTGTGAACAAACTGGTGGTAGTGGAGGTTGGAGCGCTTACTGAAACATCTACCACAGATGTGGCAGGGAAACGGTGGCCCAGCCCTGGATGCTGGAAACACTGGTGCCCTGCCCATGGACCCAGCCAGAGCAGGGGATAGGCCTGACCCTCTGCATCCAGTGTTCTCTTCTCTCAAACTCTGGCTATGTTCTTGAAGTTCCTTATTCTTGCCTCCTATAATGAATAAGGAAGAATAGTACAACAAGATTCACCCTGAGAACCCCAACACACCATTCAGTCCAAGCTCCTTCCCTCTTCCTGCTCTCACTCTTCCAGCCAGCACATTCAGCCTCACTCTTGGACCTCATGGGCTAGACTTAAGAAGAATCTTTTGTGTTTTTCAAATTAAAAGCAAATAAAAATTTAACTGGAATTTTTCAACATCAGATTAAAATTTTAACCTATAACCACATTTTTAAAAATCCATTTTCTCTAATTTTCATAACATATCTTACAGACTGGGGCAGGAGTAAAAGGAGGTGCTATTAAAAATCAAGCTAAGATGAGAGGTGTAAACCTGGGTGTCCTGGCACCCAGGAGGTGGTAAGCCCGTCATTCAGTTTCTCTCAAGTCCTTACTCGACTCTCAAGAACAAGTCTCCCCTCCTCCAGCTTGGCATCAAGTTCATCCCCCTTTCTTTCCTTTTCTCTTAGAAAGGATTTTCATCAAAAGAGTATCATTGACATAAGCAACCCATATGTACTACCTCTTTTCTAGAAACTGGAGATATGCACTTGTCCTGACGGCTTATGGAGCCAAGGAACTCGAGAAGATGATCTCTTACCTGAAGAAAGGCCTTCTCCATTTGGGGGACAGAGATCTGCTCCCCACTGTTTCTCTTCTTGTTCAAGCTTGGTGATCAGGTCTGGATTAGACAGAGAGATTCTAGGTGGTGAGTAAGAAGGAGAAAAGGAATTGAGGTCCCAGACTTGGCCCCTTTACACTGAATGGGAACTGCAGGCTACTTCCTTCTGTATCCTTGGTTTAAGAATCATAATCTAGGACACATAGATGCAAGCAGGGGGAGACACTGGAAAGGCCAGCTCCTAACTAAGTGTCTTAACAGGAGTGACTCAGTAAGTATTGATTAAATGAATAGGTAAATTTGCATGTTTTGAGAACACTGTTATCATGTTACAAGTGTTACCTTGGCCTTCATGCAGGCTTTCATTTCTTTTCTTACCCAGATATGTCACATCTGAGAACCAAGGGTCACTGAAGCTACATGTAAGCTGATTGACCTGCCCAGGGAAACTAAATGTTGCAACGTCCTGGGATAAGGAATTTGTTGAGGGAACCCCAGCTTCTTACCCACAGACACCAGATTTTTGAAGGTCTCAGACATAACATCCTGGTAGAGAACCCTCTGATGGGCTTCCAGACATTCCCACTCTTCCTGGGTGAAATTCACTGCCACATCCTCAAAGGTGACTGGCTTCTGGAAGAGCAGGAGAGGTTCAGGGAATCTATATACATAAAGACAGACATCTGGTCTCAAGGTTCAGAAAACAAAGAGAAACACAGAACCATAGAAGTAGAGGGGAAACATGAAAAAGAGGAACAAAGCCATCAACTGGGATGCATAAAACAGAAAGGGATGAGGAGAAGAAAAATACAGGAGACAAGGGAGGGATACATACTGAAAATAAACAGGAAGGGAAACAAAGGGGAAAAAGCTGCCACTCTGACAAATTTCAGGAAGTACTCCATGAAGGATGCCAGGGTGGTGCAGGGGACTGAGAAAGGCCTTGTAGCCCCTTTCCTGGGTGTTCAGCTTGAAACAGCCTGAGATTCCATTTGACCTGTAGATGGGAAACAGATGAAAGAGCTACTGGAGTCCAGGACCCAGCCCCTCTCTCTGCCACATGGTCTCACCTTTGCCCAGGCCTTCCACCAGTACTCTCTCTTCACAGCTGCCTGCGGGGCCTCCTTGTTGGAATCAGTGCTGGGAAGCAGCCTCTGCCCAGGTTCCATCTGCTTCTGCTGGCCAAACACCTTCTCTTCCATGGTGTCTCCTCCAGGTTTTATACGCTTCTGGCCTTGTTCCCAGGGCAGACTGTACACCTCCCTGGGCTATCTACCACCCTGAGGTAGCAGAGAAGAGAAGGAGAGGCTTTACAAGGGCCCCATGGTTTGATAAGGTTTCCTGTGACAGATGTATCTGCTTCAAGGGGCTGTCTTCCTTTGGCTTCCTCAAAGCCTAGGCTACAGAGTTCAGGGACCTGGTCACACTTGGCTTAGCTGCCATTGTCCAGTATTGCCAGGTTGGGTCTAGGAAGGTCACTGCTTGTGTTTCTCCCTGCTTCTAACTGCTAGTTTATGCCCACCTCTGGGAGCCTGATGTCAAACAGAAATAAAACACATGAGCAACAGATGGGAGTGAGGAGCAACAGATGGGAGTGAGGAACAACAGCTTCCTTATTTGGTCAAGGAACTTCAAAAGTTATCAAAGTCCTGCTCTGTGCCATGGAATCTTCTCAGTACTAACATGTTAGGTAACAAATGACTAACAATTTTAACTAACATAAAGTGTAGAGAGGTTAAGTTGCTCAAGGATACTTCGTGTCCACAGCATAATCAGTGTTCCGAGCCTAGACTCTGTATCATAAAGTCATGATATCTGCTCTCCCAAAGCACACTCTAGAGCAGCATATGCCTGAGGCAACCAGCCCTGGGCTGGCACAAACACCTGCACAATTCTCTTCATTCTGATCTGGTTTCATTGGAAAATGAGATTAAAGGAGACACTCTTTAAGATCCCATCTAGGAGCAAAAAATGATTCTTTGGATTTTTAATATATACAAAACTTTGTAAAGAAGAATAGTGATAACAACCCAACATCAAGCACTTACTCAGGGTTCAGGCTGAGCCCAGCACAGGGTTGCCTGCCCACCTAGGATTTCCTGCTCAGAAGCAAACCTGTCTGAACTTCCCTCTGCCTGCTGACAGTCACTTACTCCACTTCTCCCTCTTGAGACAGAATGAAAAGAATAAAGACATAAAAATCTGTTGACTTTTTTCTTTCAATTTTTTGGACTGGTGATAGAAATGAAAATACCAGCAAGGAAGAGGGCATCTGACAGTGGAGTTAACCCAATCCCTAAGAAGAACGTTGACAGGAAAGGTGTATTTTTGGGATCTGAGGTTGAGTCTGTCTCTCCTTTCCTTTAAGACTACCCAGAGTCATCCTGTGAGGTGTGCAGATCTGGATTATTCTCCTACTTCAGCGATTTTCAACCAGTGTGCTGAACAAATTTTTAAAACATGCAATACCTGACTACTTAGTCAGGAGCACTCACTTGTTTCCCCTTAGATTGTCAAATAACAAAAAAATGACAACAGTCAACACACAACATCCATCCCGTGCGAATTAATCAAAATTATATCTATATATTTTGGGGGGTCAGACAATTGGTGTGCTACAGAATTTTTGAAATTAGTCTATGTGTGCCATGAGATGAAAAAGGTTAAAAATCGTTCTACTTTCCTGCTGAACATTAAAAGTAACCTTTCCAAATAGTATCAATAATAGTATCCTCAAGGCCCTGGCTTTCCCGTTCTCCAGCACGAAAGACCCATAACTAGTCCTCAAAAATCGCATTTGCTGGGTTTGGTGCAAACTGAACCCAGCTGTGGTAGGGGCAGCAGGGGCGTGGCTGTGAAGCTGACTGGCACAGGTTCTGCACCCAAGACCGGTGAGTGCAGGCAAAATGGGCCAACTCCAGAGACTGTTCCCGGCCTGTCCCGCCCTTCCAGAATGTCAATCCGTGAGGGAACGTGTCGCCATTTTCCAGTCCTGAGTCCACCCAGTCTCTAACTCGAAACCGATCAGTGGTTTACCGCGGCACAGCCGTGAGATCCGCCCTCCTGCCCCAACCTGGTGCTCCAGCCACTTGAGTTTTCTGCTCTTTAGCCTAACAGGACAGTCTTCGCGTCTCCACTCAGTCCCTCAAGGGCCCTTTCCAGCCAATGCCCAGCCCTGCCGTCCAGTTCTTGGCCCCCAGTGGGTGCGGGCCGACCCATCGTCCCCTACCTCCAGCGCTCCCGGCGCGGGCTGCTCCCGCACACCGTCCGGAGGCGTCCGGCAGGCAGATAATTGAACACCCACTCGGTGGGGCTTCTGTGCTCAAAACGTCTGTCTGTCCCCCGAACCTTCCTTTCTGGGACCCCCACTTTCCCAACACGTTCCAGGACAGGTCCTGGGCGCCGGGCCACACCGCGACCGGAATGGGCAGCTCACTGGACCACAGCCCTGACTCATCCAGGTCGCCCCCAGCTGCCCCAGGGGGTCGGAAGCTCCTCCAGAACGAGAGGCGCAAGGGCTCTCCCGGCTGGGAGATCTCGCTCACGGATGGAGGCGTGCTGGATAGAAGTCATCCATTGGCCTAGACCACGACGAGCCTAACGTCTCCGTGTCTACTCGCCTGCCACGAAGAACTCACCCGGGGCCTGCGGCGAGCTGCTCCACCAGCGCCCTTGGTCCCGGGCGGCCAGAGACAGGCCCCTGCGACCCGGCCAACCCACGCGACAGATGAAGCCGTGGGCCGGCGTAGTCTTCATGGGTCTAAAAAGCCTAGAAGGTAGAGACCCGCCCCGCCCCATTAGCCTATCCCTCCTACCAGTTTTAACCGCGGATGCCACCTAGCGCTGGGATCTTTCCTTATTCTCAACCTTAATTTACTCGGAAGATGATTACATTTTAAATTAAAGCCTCTGATTAAAGCAACCACAGACCATCATCACCTAGAGCCCAAAGGACAAAAATGAAAACCTAAGAGGTCCATACCATTTTAGAAAAGCAAAGGCTAAGGGCAGCATACACAACGGTGACTTACATGATTGTTACCGTAAATAGTCATTTGGAGGGGTGGGCTGCTGGAGAGCTGCGCAGAGGGCGCAAGGGGGTCGGGATCCGGGGCTATCTCTGGACTCCAAACGGCTCCCTTGGGTGTGCGGTCACCGTGTCCAGCGTAGGGAGGCTGGCTGAGGGCTGGGGCATCTCTAGGCTTCCAGACGGAGGTCCCGCAGCTCCACACTTCCCCTACGCCGCCGCCCCCTCCCCCCGCCCCCCCCGCCCCGCCCCCCCGCCATTGACAGTACAGTACGGTAGTCGGGGAACTCCAGGAGTCTCCCCCATTGGCCAGGATGGTACAGGAGGAGGTTCTTACACTGAGCCTCCGGAATGGTAGAAAGATGAATCGACAGGGCCAAGCTAAGGAGATAATTGGACAGTAGGGGGAAAATACCCTCCCCTCCCTAATCCTGTAAGAATGTTGGGTTTGAGCAGGTATGGGACAGAGGTCCACCATTCTCCCAGGCCCGCATCTGAATAAACCTCTTTTCCTTTTGCACCAGCACCTGTCTCACGGGTTTGGCTTTCACTGGGCAGTCAGCCAAACCTGTCCACACCCCCCTACGCCCCTTACATGATGACAAATGGCAGGCACATGTATGGGAGCAGAAAGGACCATGCCCAGGTAGAGTTCTACTTACCTTGGTCACTTAGCCAAACCCAACTCAACCTTTCTTGGCAACATCTTTTTATTTTTTAAATCAGCCCAATGGAAGTATTTCACATTGACATAGGCTCTTGCAATTCACAAAATGCTTTTGTAAATAGAGCCTTCATTAAAACCCACAAACTCCATGGGAGGTAGTAATTGTTATTCCACCTTTACAGACCCAGAGATATTGAACCTTAACAAAGCCCACATCCTGCTGCTCCAGGAACTAAACCAGACCCTCTACTTTCAAGTCACCACTCTGGTGCATGCGCTCCATGGTTAGTACTGGATGGCTGGCAGGTGTATGTTTTAAATCTCTGTGTTCCCAAAGTACATAACAGTGCTCTGCTTTACGGACAGACAATTCATGCTGGTGGACTGGAGTCTCCAAATAGTCAGTTGGTGGGAAAAGTGACAGGAAAAGCATGAGGTTGAAGTAGTCATGTACATTATCACTATCTTTAGACCAATGTGAAAACAGGCTAGGAAAGGGGATGCCAAATTAACCATGGATTCCCATTAACTATGAAGAAACTAAACCAGCCCTTCAAAAAAGACAGGATCTGCCCTGGCCAGGTGGCTAAGTTCGTTGGAGTGTCATCCCATGCACCAAAAGGTTGTGGGTTTGTTTTGGGAACATACCTGGGTTTCAGGTTTGATTCCTGGTCAGGGCGCATACTGTAGGCAACTGGTGGATGTTTCTCTCTCACATGGATGCCTACCCCCCTCAAATTAGTAAACATATCCTCAGGTGATGATAAAAAAAAAAGAATCTGACCCTGCACTGCCATGAAACTGCTTCACTTGTTTACTCTGTCAACATAAGAAACATTTAAACCTGCAAAGAATTTTTATGAATTTGAGCCAAACTGACAATTGCCAGGAAGTAAAATCTCAGGACTAAGAAAATGCTCTATATAATGGGTTTTGCAGCTAATTTTTTGAATCAGAATCAAAGGAAGAGGTGTATGGGGGTTACATGAAATCTATTTGTGGTGTTTTAGAGAGGCAGGAGAACACAAAGTGGGGAAACCTCTGGGATTGTATACAAAGTAAAAGGAATAGATGCATACTTCTTTTACATAAGTGGATATAGGATAGTAACAGTTAACAATTAACATGATAGTAATAACAATGAAAGGATTAGTGGTCTCAGCTCTGGTGTAGCCTGTGCTGTGGAAAAAAGGAAATTACCCTGACATTCCAAAGGTACGTTATCAGTAGATGCAAAAAGACAATGGACAGGCTCAGTTAAAGATTGACCTTTGTTTGACCTAGGATATGACTACCTTCCATGACTTGCTTTTAGTTAGAAAGTTTTCATTTCAGACCATCCTCTGTAGTTACTTCAGGTCTCTGAGTTTTTAAGGCCCACCATGCAGGCCTACCCTGAACTTGGCAGGTTTAGTATGTGGCCCTGTTTTTGTCCACAACCATCATGCCAGGCCTGATTCCAAATCACATTATTTACAAAACTAGGCAGCTGGCTCCTGGCCCATAGTTTACTGATTTGATCCTCAAATCTTGAGGATCATCAAAGAGATATGGGATGAATAAGGCATTTATTCATTCATTCAGTAAGCATTACACCATAGGTTTGGAGAAAGAGGGAATGGGGTGGATCCAGTTTTATTCTTCTCTGCATGCCTCAACAACACTCAGCACAATGTTTGCTTTGTAGTAGACTCTCAACTGAGTTAGAGGAGTTTATAATCAAGACAGGAGAGCAGCGCCATATGCACCTATAATGCAGTGCAAAGTCCTAAGATGGAGAAGCAACCAGGTCAGGGAAATCAATTCAACTCCATGACAGAGGCTGAGGAGCATTCTAAAGTGTAAGATAGTAATGGTGGCAAGGGCACTATGCTGAGGTGGAACAAGATATAAGATAGATATTGGGGTTTGAGTGTGAAGACAATGAGCTGGAGGAGAGCTGGCTATTGTGGAAAATCCTATATATGAAGCCTGGGTTTAGTAGAACCGAGGGCTAATGAGAAGGGGAAAAATGGAGGAGCCGTCCTGATTCTGATCTACATGGTTCCAATTAATGATACAAACCCTTGAGCTAACCACCAGATTGGTGACAAAGACCCTGGTCTGAAGTTTAGCCACAGTCAGGGCTCCATCTGGGTAACTGTCTTTGAATCAACTTCCTGGTTCTGGGTCTTTCACCATTGCCCCAATTCTTTCTTATTAATAGGCAATAAAATGGAAGTCCTCCACCCTATTGTCACAATCTAGCAAACTGTGGCAAGTTTTCTACTTCTGAAGCTACACAAACCTTTGAGCTACTGTTTGGGGAGGTCATTGAAAGGACATGACAGCCAGTAGACCTATCAGCTGGACTGGGTAATTGGAGGTTCCATAACCCCTCCCCTGTATGTTCTGCCCACCATTCCCACACTAGGAGCTGTTTCAAGGACATAGCCTTGAGAATAAGATGTTGTCAAGGCCATCAGGACTGAATATGTGACTAATTAAAACCTCTAAACAAACTTTTAAGGTTCTGATGTGTGTGTGTGTGTGTGTGTGTGTGTGTGTGTGTGTGTAGATCTACTCATCTTGCCATCACCAAAGACAAACTTCATAGATAAGTTCCCTTGCTTATTTTTTAAAATATTTTATTTATTTTTAGAGAGGAGGGAGGAAGAGAGGGAAATATCAATGCGTGGTTGCCTCTCAAGTGCCCCCTACTGGAGGCACACAACCCAGGCATGTGCCCTGACTAGGAATCAAACAAGCGACCCTTTAGTTCACAGACTGGCACTCAATCCACTGAGCCACACCAGCCAGGGCAGTTTCCTTGCTTATTAAACTCTCCACCTACCAATCTGGAATGGCCTGCCTCTCAATCTCAGTGCCAGTATGCAGAACCAAAAATAGATGCTGTCACTTTACTTGGCAGGCACAACTCAAGACCAATTTCATCATCAATACCCTCTCCTTGATCGCTCTCCCTCTAATTTTACTGACTCTTGTGCTATTGGCCAATGGCCAAGTTATTTGGTCTGATACTTGAAAAACTAGACTAGTGAGACATCTCTCTTGGGAGCTTCAAACTGTGGAAATAAACCATAGCTGCTGACCTAACATATGGGTCACTGAGGTGAATGTCCACAGGAACAGTCTGCTTTCTGATGAGACTGACTGGAATCAAGCTGCTGATGGAGCCAATGTTGTGCAGATTGTCTCTACTGGTGCTTGGATCCATTATGACACCAGACATGGCAAGAAATTCACTATCTGGGCACAAAGTAAAGGACTCAATTTGATTTAGACTTGTCAATTTCTGTTAATTTTTACAAGGCAGGCCACATAGTGTTACCCAACAGGGATCAGTGTGGAACAAGTCCGCCTCGGGCTGGCCTGTAAGTGTGTGGATTCTTGACTCCATGCAGGGAAGATTTCACAAGAGTCTGGGTGATTTTTGGGAGTACATTTATTAAAGCTGGAACAGTGAAACAAAGGAAGGACTTAGGGTAGAAGAAGTAACCGGAGAGCCTATGCAGTGCTCTGCTTTGGCTCCCTAGAAACATTATAGGAAAGGAGTGAGCCAAGGCCAGGCTACTGTTAGCTCACTGGGAAGTGAAAATCACAGTGACAGAAATGAGCCAAAGTGGGTTTGCTTTTAGCTCACTGGGAAGTCAGAGAAAAAGGGTGTCTTGAAGACAGGATCAAGGCATAAGGGCAAGTTGAGCTGTCACTGCCCTCAACTCACCTGGCTGCAAGTCTCGTAGGGACGCTTAGGGTTTAGGAGGAAATAAAAAGTTTATGGCCAGGAAGAGGCATGGGCATGCTCTAGAGCAAGCCTACACTGAGTCTTTGTCCTGAGGGCTTTTTATCTTTCTTCTGTCAGTGAGAATATTAGAGGAGGGTTTCAGCCAAATATTTATCAGTCTTTCGGGTGCATTTTTAATAAGTTGATGTATTAAAATGAGTGTATAGGGGAGTTTGGGATTATTCTTTGGTCTGCTATACTGTTTTGTTTATCTGGCTCTAATGAGGTTTTTGTTATTTGTTGCCCTGACTTCATCTGTCCT